TGGCTTAGTCAGATGCTGCTGCTGCCTGCTCCATTGTGATCCCGGAGCCTAGGCTGAGCAGGGGCTGCTCCCCCCGCAGGGTCTGTGCTGGGGAAAGACCCGAATTGCAGCCCCTCATTGCCCAGCCCAGTGGGGGGACTTTCTCCAGTGGCAGGAACCAGCCCCCCCAGGACAGTCCTGGGCTCTGCCAACACCAGCTCCTGAGCCGGAGACTCCAGGTAATGGAGAGAGCCCTGGGGGAAGCGCTGGGATGGGCAGGGCAGGGGCTCTGCGCCCACGTGTCCAGGGAGTCTCGTACCTGGCAGCTCCTGGGGTTAATTCTCCCAGGTTGTAGGTGCTTTTGCAGGAGGGACCCAGCTGCCCTACCAGCAAGGAAAGTACTGCTCTGAATTAGGGTCAGAACCAGCCCCTAAATTAAATGGGGTGGGAGTTGCTGAGGACCCCTTGGCTTCTGTGCCATGAAGACTCTGAGAAGGGAAGGGGTGAAAAAAAGCCCAAGGGCTGTTGGGCAGGAAGGCCAGGCTGAAATGGGATTGTTTAATCCTCTCTGCACAATGAGGAGATGATAGGGAGCCCCTGCCTTCACTCTTCTTCTTAAAAACCTGTTCCTACTGCCAGCCCTGGCCATGCCTAGGGATATGTGGGGAGATGGGCAAATCTGCCTCATGGTAGAGAGATGTTGGGGAAGGGGGAGGGAGTTTGCTTCTGCACACAAGGCAGCTCTAAATGGAGCTGAACTCTGTGCAGCTGTGTGAACACTCATGCAACCCCCTGCTTCCCTGCAAACAGCATCATTTAATTAGTGTAATTAAACAGGGACAGGAAGGGGTGATGCAGCAGCCTCAATCCTGCTGAGAGCTTTAGTTGAAAGGAGTCAGGGAGGTTGTGGGCTCAGTATTTTTCAGTGGTGACTTATAAAAGGGGAAGACATAATTGGGTTACTTTTTATTTTTATTTTAGGGGGAAAGTTTGGAATGTTGTTTCTTGCTCTTCCTCTGCCCCTGACTTGCTGATACAGGACATGTAAGTCTTTCCTATCCTGCATTTCTTAAAATTATTCTGTGGGCAAATGTAGAAGTCACCGTGATGTGACACCTAAGGGATGTAGTCCTGGCAAATGAAATCCACTTTTGCCCAACAACTTGGCTTCTTTCATAGATTTCATAAATTTCATAGGCATTAGGGCTGGAAGGCACTTTGATTCACTCCCTGTAAAAACTAAGTGGCATAACTGATGGAGAAATGAGGGGCTTTTTATTCTTTTTATTTATTTTTAGGGAAATAAAAAACCTTGTTTCTTTTTGAAACCCCATGAAGGTCTTTTTTATTCCTCTAATGCCCTTGTGTTTCAAGAGGCCTTCCTGAGACACATTTGGGTCACAAAGCCAGGCCTCCAGCCACAGCAGGGGAGATGGCCTGAACCAAGCTTTCTTTGTTGGATGAAAAGAAGCAAGCAGAACTGGTTAGCTGGGTTCCTCTTAAGAAGAAATATCCTATGAGGCCTCTTCACGTGCCCTTGAGAAGCACATCAGGATACAGGCCCCATTGGGCATGCCCCGATGAGTGTGCGCATGCAGGGGCTTGTGTTTGCTGCGGCAAAAATAACAGCAGCACAAATTCATGCCGCTGCTTTTTGCCACTGTGCACACCCCTGCACGTGGGGTTTGGTGGGGGGCAAAATGCCCCACTTCAGGGAAACATCCGTTTCCCCACTTCTCCCAACTCCTGTGCTGGAGGAGCTGGTGGACAACTAGAAGAGGGGTCATGGGTCAGCATCCAGAGCATCTCCCTGGAGGACCCAGCTTCTGTGTCTGCTGACGCACGCTTCTGGAGCATGTGCCACGCTAGGTTTTTTTTTGCAGTGTTTTGGGGTTTTTTTGACCACGGGATCTCCCAGTGAATGGTTGCACTTGCACCACATGTGGTTTGCAGTGCTTTAAACTGCTTTGAGGTGCCGCAAACTGCACGTGCATGTTTGTCTGGATGCATCCAGTTATTCTTTCCTCTTTGGGGAATGACCCCTTTTTTGGACTGAAACTCCAGACAGACTTGGCAGCTGAAAGGCTGGGTGCTGCAATGCTAGGTCTGGTATCCCACTCACCTGGCTGAATACTATTCTAGTGGGGTGGGGGGGGGTGGGTCTCTCCTGTGGGGTGGGAGATGTAGATGTGAGTCCTTTCAGGCTGAGGTGCATCTACAACCCAAGTTTCCTATTTCTTTGGTAACTTCCACAACCGTTCAGCACCACCCCCAGTGGTATCAGTTTGGGGATGGGAACCTGATTTCAAATGTGGGTGCTCTACCCACCCAAAAATCAAGCCCTTTTAATGAATCTCTCCAAAAAATTGATACCCCCCCCCCCCCCC